TATTGAACTGAAAAATAGGTTTCAAAAAATCAATTTAATGTGATTCTCCTATTGTGTTACCACCATTAAAGAAACATTGATATTTCCAGTCAACCTCTCTATTATCAAGGGATTGATAGCTTAGCTGTAAACAACCATGAAAGCATCAAGCTATAAGATGGTGAAACTTTAAAAAAATGCAAAATATCTATTTCAATCTTTTTTAAATTTGCAGGAGGGTATAAAATATGTTTTTTCTTTTCTTTGAAGATGGTCATTTTGTACTCTGACTTAAAAGTGGCTTCAACTGTAAAATAAACTGGGGATGGGGGAGAGCAATCATCCATACTGTACTATTTTCAACAGTATGTTATGCTTTATAAATTATTCAAATAAGAAAAGTTGCCACTATAACAGAATAATAATTGTTCTTCATCCTACATAGCTTTAAAGACTCCCAGAGTGCCCACTGAATTTCTTTTACAGCCAAGGGGTGAATAACATACTATGTCACTGACCTTAAAATGCCTTGAAATACAGCTTAGTGTAGTATGCTGGAGTCATTAAAGGTATCATGTGATGGACCTACAAGGAAAGAGAGGTTTGTGACCTCTTGAAGAGTCTCAAAACCCAACAGAGGATGACAATGGCAGTCTCTTCATTAGAGGAGTAGATAAACATTGCATATATTTCTTGGTGTTTTAAGTGAGTTTACAGTATATGCAATCCCATGATTGTTTTCCTAGGTATAGAAAAGTGTACATGGGAAAATTGGTTTTATTTTGTGAAATTTCCAAGTGAAGTAATTAAAATATCTTTGACCAAGTGTTATGCATGCAGAGTTCCTTCTTCAGCTCCTAGAGATATTCTTGGGATCAGTAGCCCCTTGATATGGTTGAACTTTAATTTATAAAGCAAATTACAGATGCAGCTTACCACCACTTGTGATCTGAACCTCCTAAAAGTTTGAGGGTGGTTGGATCTGGGGGTTTAGTTCAGAATCCTCTCTCCAAAATTCTGTGAGCAAAACCCCAGTCATAACAGCTATATTTTGCATTGTCTCTTTTCTTCCATGTTGTGATATATTGGTTATCTTTGGTTTCTTATTCTTATGCAAAGGCAGAAGAGAGCACACAAGAGAATTTGGGGGACAGAGGTATCTGCTCTAAATTCTGGCTGCTAAATATTTATGTTTATTTCATTGTATTATTCCTCCTCTCATTTTTTTAAAGATTCTTTGACAAATGCGTTCAGTAATCAGCACATAAAATAGCATAATTTTAAGTCTTGTATAGGACTTTGTGCATACAGAGAATAAATAACACACTGCTTAGTGTTTTCAAGTAGTGTTCATGCTGGAAGATAGATAGAAGCTTTCTGTTCCACATGTACTGCATTTCTATCAGCATTTTCTTCTCTGCTGGGGGTACTATTATAGAACAAATTACCAAATACAGCTAAACGTCATGTTTCTGAAACACTGAGTTTAATCTTAGGTAATGATTTGAACTCTATATGCAATAACAAACAAGCAGACTCTTTATAATAGCTTGTTATGTGGCTAACAGATGGGAAGTGAATATATTGTACTATGCTAAAGATATACTGGTTGCAGCTATAGTAAAGATTGCACCCAGAGTTCCAGGGGATGGCTAATTTTGATGAACATCTCTTCCCTCACAAAATATTTTAATAGAAGGAGCTGATGTTCGGGGTTTGCATGAACTTAGTGTGTGCTGTAGAATGTAATATTTCTATATGATTTCCAAAAGTGTAAGGCCAGAGGAGTGTCTGTAGCAAGGACATAGGGAATCTCTTTTTTCTACATAAACTAAAATTTATGTAAAAAAAAGGTGACTGCTCAGTCACCTTTATCAGAAAAAATGTTTTTATTGTAGATATATGAAATGTAATATTTATCCGCATTTGAACTCACTGTTTTGAACATTGTGTTTTATCCTTGGCAGCAGAGGTGATTTATTTATTATACTTAAAAAGTGAGACAGTAATGGTTAGAAGCTCATGTAACGTGCCAAGATTCAAAACCTTTACCCAGGGCCTCTTTCACTTCCCAGTGGGGGTTACTGGCCAGCTAGGGAAAGGAAAGTGAGTTTTGCCTCACCTCTTCCATTAGGAGCATGGTTTGCCACAGAAGGAGGCAGGAGTCTCCAGTCCCCTACCCTCAGGCATGTCCTGTGAAAGCCCTGTGCTTCTGGAAAGATGCTGACTGCCCACTCCCTAAAGGAACCAGGCTACAAATGTTTGAACCCACTCCACATGGTGTGTATGGAGCCATGTTCCGTAGTACAGTGAAAGAAGCAAAGCAAGTCAGTAGGGCTAGAGACAGACATTCAAAAAGCCTGAGCCTGAATAGATTCAATCTTTGCAGGTTAGTCTAACCTGGCTAGGCTGACCCAGTTTGTAATCACGCAGACATCCCCTCTGGACTGAAGAAATGCAGGCACATGCCTGTAGTGGTTCCGGCTAGAATCCAGGGGGTGCTAAAGCAGCCCTCCCTTCCCTTCCACAGGGCTGAGCTGAGTGGGGTGTGGCCAGGCCTTGGCAGGATGCTCTGTTTAGGGAAGCCCCCACCCCACTGCTCTTGACCAGCCCAGACCATTTGTCTTGATACCAGAGTATTTATCAGAACATCAGCAAAGCGAAAGCCTATCATTAGTTCAAGCAAGGAAGAAACAGAGGGACATTACCAGCTGACCTGTTAATTAGCTCCAAAAGCCCTAAGCAGACACTGTCCTGTCTGTCTTTGTCCTGTCTGCCTTACACAGACCCTCTCAGCATTAGCTACCATACCATATTCTGGCTACAGTCTGTGCTGTAAGAGGGAGGGAGGGGGGGTCCCTGCTTGAGCAGTGAGGGTCGGGGGGAAGGGGAAGCCAGGCAGAGGCTGCTGTGCCTGCATGTCTCTGCTGGAGCTGGAGCGAGGGAGAAGAGGGTAGGGGCCAGCCCAGCTCTCTGGCGCAGAGAGTCCTGCCCAGCCCAGAGAGCATGCCAGGATGCTGGGGGAGTCTGATTTAACTTAAACCAGGAAGAGGTCTGGGACAGGCATTGCATAAACTCATTTGACTCAAATCAGTTAAGTCTGATACTACATTCAACCAGGTTTATCTCAAACTGGTTTCAGCCATTTTCAAACTGGTTTATGTGCACTGAACACCTGTTCTGTTACAGGTTTAAACCAGTTTCTGATCATTTAAACTGGTTTGTGTGTAATGTCTGTCCCTAGCCTAGAGGCTCACCATGTAGCAATTTGTCCCTGTATGTGGAAAGGAGCTTTTAGCCATCATTCCACCTTCTCTGTTCTTACAATGCTGGATCCGCTATGGAAACATTGAGACAGGGCTTCCACGAGATCGGGAGAAAGTGAGGAGTCTGCTGCATGTCATCTCTCCTTCCTCCCTTGTCTCCTTTGTCACAACCAGCAAGTTCAACACGCTTATGCTCATGGAAGCACAAGAGGGGCATGAGATTGAGTTTCTATTCAGTCATTATTGATGGAAAAGTCTCTCTGATGTCAATGGGAGAGTTGTCCAGGTATTGACTGGGAGATATGGTCCAGTAAAATCTGCTTTTTCAAAAAAGAAACCATGCTTTTATCTGTATCATTTTTCTTTCTAGTGGAAAAACAGCA